GTGCTGGGATTACAGGCATGAACCACCATGCCCAGTCCTGGCTAATTTTTTAATTTTTTGTAGAGACAGCCAGGCTATGCTGCCCAGGCTGGTCTCAAACTCCTGGTCTCAAGCAATGCTTCTTCCTCAGCCTCCTGAAGTGCCGAGATTATAGGACTACAGGCATGTGCCATCATGCTCAGCCCCATAAACAACTTCTGTATGTATAGTTGTGTGTAAAAAGGCGATCATCAACTGCACATATATAAGTTATTTATTCATTTCATTTTTTTTTTTTATTCGAGACAGAGTCTCACTCTGTTGCCCAAGCCATTTTTTTTTTTTTTTAACTTTAAATAGCTGGGACTCCTGGAGCAGTACTCCCAAGAACTCATGGATACCGAGGGTTTCCAATTAATTCCAAAATTTCACATATGGTCCAATTTCATCACAGTGCCCAAGAAGTTCATCTGAATTTGTGCCATGTTACCCATAGCCAGAATTCAGAGCAATTCTGGAATCAGGCAATTTGACACCTGTAAACTGTTCAAGTCTAGGGTCTGCATCAACTCTCCCCAACTTTTTTGAGATGGGGTTTTGCTGGGCTCCCCAACCTGGTCTAGAGAACTCCTGGGTTCAAGCAATCCTCCCACCTCAGCCTCCCGAGTGGCTAGGACTACAGGCATGTGCCATCACGCTCAGCCCCATAAACAACTTCTATATGTATAGCTCTGTGTAAAAAGACCATTGTCAACTGCACATATATAAGTTCATTTATTCATTTCTTTTTTTTTTTTTTTTTTAATTTGAGACAGAGTCTCACTCTGTCGCCCAGGCTGGAGTGCAGTGGTGATCTCGGCATACTGCAACCTCCACCTGCCAGGTCTAAACGATTCTCTGCCTCAGCCTCCCAAGTAGCTGGGACTACAGATGTGTGCCACCACGCCTGGATAATTTTTGTATTTTTTGGTAGAGATGGGGTTTCACCACATTGGCCAGGCTGGTCTCAAACTCTTGACCTCAGGTGATCTACCCACCTTGGCCTCCCAAAGTGCTAGGATTACAGGCGTGAGCCTCCGCGCCTGGCCCGTTTATTCATTTCAAGGGCTGTGGTTCCCGAAATGTCACCAAGTTTGTTATGTTATTGTCCACCAGATTCTAACAACCTCAAATTGGGTTTCTTTATCCTCTGCTCTTTTTCTTTTCTTCTCTTTGCTTTTTTTCTTCTGATTTTTAAGTCTTCGTTCTTTTAGACTTCACATAAGAATATTCTGATGAATGCCAGTTGTGGTGGCTCATGCCTGTAATCCCAGCACTTTGGGAGGCCGAGGCCGGTGGATCACGAGGTTAGGAGCTTGAGACCAGCCTGGCCAACATGGTGAAACCCCATCTCTACTAAAAATACAAACAATAGCTGGGCATGGTGGTGGGCGCCTGTAATCCCAGCTACTCGGGAGGCTGAGGCAAGAGAATCGTTTGAACCCGGGAGGCGGAAGGTTGCAGTGAACTGAGACCACGCCATTGCACTCCAGCCTGGGCAACAGAGCACGACTCTGTCTCAAAAAAAAAAAAAAATAGTATTCTGATGAGACTTCTGAATAAGAGATGGAAGCTGGCTCAGGACAAAATATTTGTACTAGAGCAGAACAGGCAGGGGAGGAACAAAAGTGGAGGCAGGCCAGGTGCAATAGCTCATGCCTGTAATCCCAGCACTTTGGGAGGCTGAGGCGGTGGATCACCTGAAGTTGGGAGTTTGAGACCAGCCTGACCAACATGGAGAAACCCCGTCTCTACTAAAAATCCAAAAAACTTAGCCGGGCGTGGTGGTGCATGCCTGTAATCCCAGCTACTCGGGAGGCTGAGGCAGGAGAATTGCTTGAACCTGGGAGGCGGAGGTTGCAGTCAGCTGAGATCAGGCCATTGCACTCCAGCCTGGGCAACAAGAGCAAGACTCAAAAAAAAAAAAAAATGGAGGCAAAGGAAAAAACTCCCTGAAAACTCATACAATGGCAGGGAGTGAATGTGCCTCTCAGGAATCTCTTGCCTTTTTCACCCAAACATTAAGCCCTCCTGAATCTGCTTTTGGCTTCCATTATAGCCTCTGTTTGGGTTTATTCGGAAAACGAATTGTTTTGAAAAAGCACTATATAACTGTGCTTCCTCTGGTCTCACACCATACTACAACAATCAATACAAAAGACTTCCATGATCAGGCTAGGCATGGTGGCTCATGCCTGTAATCCCAACGCTTTCGGAGGCCAAGGCAGGCGGATCACTTGAGGTCAGGAGTTTGAGACCAGCCTGGCCAACCCCGTCTCTACTAAAAAAAAAAATGCAAAAATTAGTTGCGCGTGGTGGTATGTGCCTGTAGTCCCTGCTACTCCGGAGGTTGAAGCAGGAGATTCACTTGAAACTGTGAGGTGGAGGTCACAGTGAGCTGAGATCACACCACTGCACTCTAGCCTGGGCAACAGACCAAGACTGTCTCAATGGAATAAAAAAAGAAGATGATGACTTCCGTGATCCCAAAATATATGGGGATTTCTCCCCAGGAACAAGCAAACAGTTGGTTCTGAGGCAGACACCAGCTGGGTGCCCTCCACTTCAATTCTGACACTCTATCTAGAGATAGTGGCAGATCCCAAGGGTTGAGGGCTCAGTCCCCAAGACACCAGTTGCAATTCTAGACCTCCAGAACTTCTAACAGATCAGCTTCAAGCTGGGGATTCCATGATGCCTTCTTTGGGTTTGATTAATTTGATAGAACAGCTTACAGAACTCAGGGAACCACTTATGTCTACTGATTTTTTTATAAAGGATATTACAAATAACACAGATGAAGAGATAAGCAGGGCGAGGTAGGTATGGGAGAAGGGGCGAGGACCTTCCATGGCCTCTCTGCATGTGCCACTCCGTGTATATTCAGCTATCCAGAAGCTCTCTGAAACCTGTCCTCTTGGGTTTTTGTGTGTGTGTTGTTTTTGTTTTTTGAGACAGAGTCTCGCTCTGTCGTCTAGGCTGGAGTGCAGTGGCACGATCGTCGGCTCATTGAAACCTCTGCCTCCCAGGTTCAAGCGATTATCGTGCCTTAGCCTCCTGAGTAGCTAGGATTACAGGGTCGCCCATCACCATGCCCGGCTAATTTTTGTATTTTTAGTAGAGGCAGGATTTCACCATGTTGGCCAGGCTGGTTTCAAACTCCCGACATCAAGTGATCCGCCCGCCTTGGCCTCCCAAAGTGCTGGGATTACAGGTGTGAGCCGGCCTTTGGTTTCTATAGAGGCTTCATTAGAAGCCATCCGTCACATTAGCATACAAAAAGGCAGGAGTCTGGAGATTCCCAGGACTTTAGGAGTTGTAGGCCAGGAAATGGGATGAATACCAGATATGTATTTCACAACATCACACACACAAATAAAAAACTCTCAATGCATTTCAAGCAGAGGAGAATTAAATGTCAGGAATAGGTGCCTACAAAACCACTTGAAAAACTGGAAGAGCAAAAACCGGGGAATACCAACACTATCTTCAAGTCAACCACTGAAGGTCTAGTCTAGTACACAGAAATTCCTGCTGGGGAACTGCAGGACATCCCCATTGATGGACACAGCTTCCCAGCTACATCAAGGTGGGGTGCTGGTAAGGAAGCACATCATGTCTGCAGTGGTCTATGCATCTGTCTGCTGCAGTCAGAAAATAAGAAAACAGTTTTTACCTTTGTTCCATTTCCCAATTCTCTCTCTCTCTCTCTCTCTCTTTTTCTTTTGAGGCAGAATCTTGCTCTATCACCCAGGCTGGAGTGGTGCGCTCTCGGCTCATTGAAACCTCTGCCTCCCAGGTTCAAGCGATTATCGTGCCTTAGCCTCCTGAGTAGCTAGGACTACAAGCACACCCACCAAACCTGGGTACATTTTTTTCGTATTTGTAGTAGAGATGGGGTTTCACCATGTTAGCCAGGATAGTCTCGATCTCCTGACCTCAAGTGATCCACCCGCCTCGGCCTCCCAAAGTGCTGGGATTACAGGCTTGAGCCACCGCGCCCGGCCTATATCAGTATATATATATGTGTATACACACACAAACACACACACTCTCTCTCTTTTCTTCTTTTTTTTTTCCCTGAGTCTCGTTCTGTGGCCCAGGCTGGAGTGCAGTGGTGCGATCAGATCTCACTGCAGCCTGAAACTCCCGGACTCAAGCAATCCTCCCACCTAAGCCTCCAGAGTAGCTGGGACTTCAGGCACACGCAACAACGCCCGACCAATTTTTGTATTTTTTGTAGAGACATGGTTTCACAATGTTGCCCAAGCTGATCTCGAACTCCTGGGCTCAAGCTATCCTACCGCGTGGGTTTCCGAAATTGTCGCGATGACAGGCGTGAGCCATAGCGTTACATATGGGGGCGGGGGAAGAGAGAGAGAGAAGAAAAAGAAGAGAAAAGAGAAGAGAAGAGAAGAGAAGAGAAGAGAAGAGAAGAGAAGAGAAGAGAAGAGAAGAGAAGAGAAAACATATATATACAGAGGGTGTTCAAATCTACTTTCAAGTGCTTTCCGTGTACATATAATCTCTTCTTAAAATCCCATCCAGCTCCGTTGAGATGAGAAAACTGAAGCTCTGAGAGGTTGAGTAACTTGATCACGCTCCCGCAAAGATAAAAGAACCGCCATCTGCCCATATTAATTTCCCTGAGATGAAACATGACAGGGAAAGATACCTCAAAATTAAGGAAATGGAGAGCTTCGAGAATCGTCTTCCATCTCCGCGGAGTCCCCCAGGAACTTGGCCTGGAGTCTTTGGGCTGTCCCACCTGATCCTGCACCAATGCGGCTCCACACCCTGGCAGGGGGCGTACGGAGCGTCCCGGGCCCAGGCACCAGCCAGCGTCGGAGTGGGCAGGACTGGAGATGGCAGCCTCCGGTCCAGGGAAAGCGGGACTCTACGGAAGGGCTGGGAAGAGGGTAGGGAGAGGGGGCGGGGGCGGGAACTGTTCCGCCCCATCCCCTCTGTCTACTTTCATTGGCCAAGGCTTCCTGGCCCCAACCCACCTCCCGCCTCCAGGGCGCCGCTTAAAGTGTGCGGAGCAGGTGCCTTGGGTGGAGCCACAACTTTGCGCGAGTGTCTTGGTTGAGCGCAGCGCCCATTCATTGCCCGCGAGCGTCCATCCATCTGTCCGGCCCGCGGTCCAGCGAAAGGGGCTCCAGGCCGGACGCAGCAGCCAACCGGGGAACCCAGGCCAGGAAAGGGGCCGAGAACGCGGCTGAACCTTGCGGGCCGGGGCAGGGGACTGTGGCCGCGGCCATGCAGTCCTGTGCCAGGGCGTGGGGGCTGCGCGTGGGCCGCGGGGTCGAGGGCGGCCGCCGCCTGGCTGGGGGATCGGGGCCCTGCTGGGCGCCGCGGGGCCGGGACAGCAGCAGTGGCGGCGGGGACAGCGCCGCGGCTGGGGCCTCGCGCCTCCTGGAGCGCCTTCTGCCCAGACACGACGACTTCGCTCGGAGACACATCGGCCCTGGGGACAAAGACCAGAGGGAGATGCTGCAGACTTTGGGGCTGGCGGTAAGGACCTCCACCCGGCCCTCCGCGGCCTCCCCTCCGCCCTGCCCGGGTTCTGCCTGCGCGGCTTCCCGGCTCCTGCCCTGAGCTCTGCTGCGCTCCGCGTGGTCCCCGCACCCTGGGTCCCGGGCCGTGGCGTGGAAGCGAATTCGAGCCTTTGGTCCTCGTGCCTTCTCACGTCTTAACTGCTTACCTTCTCCTGCACCCAGTCTTCGTGCCTCAAAAGTGTACTTTTTTAAACCACCCCCAGGCCATATAGCCCTGTGGATGAACCTTAACTTTGCAAGAGGAGGAAGACGCCCTGGTTAAGAGTGGGCTTACCGGTTAGCTCCGGTTGCAACTGAAATCCAACCCCCAGTGGCGGAATCTCCACCCCGCTTCATGATTTTCTTTCCTCCAAGTCATTCTGGCTTGCTCAAAGTTTTCCTTTTCTCTTTAAAAAGAACCCTAATTAGGCGATTTAAATGAGGTTCCCACAAGCCTTTGTAGTTGCAAAACACAGAGGTGACTCTTTTAACTCAGAGGCGCTTTCCTCTGCCTTGCGTTTTAATTTTAGAGCATTGATGAATTGATCGAGAAGACGGTTCCTGCCAACATCCGTTTGAAAAGACCCTTGAAAATGGAAGACCCTGTTTGTAAGTGGCCGGGAGGGCTCCCTTGGACTCGGCTTATTCTGGCCTGTTTGCCTTTTATGGTTTCCTGAAGATCCAGCTCTGGGGTTAGGATTGCTCAGGACTGGGAATGTATGGATGAAAATAAAACAGTGGCGGGTACCTCCGGAACCGTCAGAGGGTGGGATATTTGGTTCTTGGAGCAGACAGTTTTGTGTTAGGAGGGAGTCGATGTTGTGCGGTTCTTGATCTTTATCCTAGGGCCCCCGCAGGTTCCCCTGCGTTTTGTAGCAGATTCCCCACTTCCCAGGCACCCTGTCACCGGTCAGGGTGCTGTCATACTTTGGGTTGAGAGGTGTCATCACCTGCGCAGATCTGGATAGACTCAAAGGATCTAGGAATTGCCTAAGGTTGTGCAACTGGGGAAGTGACCAGACATCTGGCCTCCCTCCCCCACGCTTCTTTAGATCTCAGTAGTTTCCAGTTGTTTTGTTATCTCACGTCCAAATTTTATTATTTACCAACTGAAAGGCAGCAGTACTTTCCGAGTCCGAATGGTTTTACTTTTCTTTCCTTTTTCTCTCTCTCTTTTTTTTTTTTTAAGGCAGAGTCTCTGTCGCCCAGGCTGGAGTGCAGTGGCATGATCTCAACTCACTACAACCTCTGCCTCCCTGGTTCAAGCTATTCTCCTACCTCAGCCTCCTGAGTAGCTGGGATTACAGACGTACACCACCACTCCTGGCTAATTTTTTGTATTTTTAGTAGAGACAGGGTTTCTTCATGTTGGCCAGGCTGGTCTCGAACTCCTGACCTCAGGCAATCCGTCCGCCTCGGCCACCCAAAGTGCTAGGATTACAGGCGCGAGTCACTGTGCCCAACCCCAAATGGTTTTTCTAGAAAAACACACAAGTAAGATTTACATTTGGTTAAGAAAGATCAGTTTAGTCATAGAGTTTCTTAGAATTTTATTTTAGGTTTAAAATATTTTTAATGGTCCAAGATTGCTTTTCACAGGTATTTTTATGTGGGTATTTGACTTGCATGGGGTGGGGAGACAATCTATAAGTCAAGGGCACAGGCAGAGCTCTTAAAAAAAATCTCATCTGGTTATCTCACTTTCAATCATGGAGATACTTATCTCTTTTTCTTCTAGAGTAAAATGAAGAGACAGCAGCTGTTTTATTTTGTTGCTGTGATAGAAAGGATATAGCCTGCAGATGGCAAGCTTTATTTGCTTTATTTTGTGTGAAGGTGGACATTTGAGGTATGGAGTCTATCTGCTTCAGGTTGGCTGCTCAGGCTATGCTGAGGGCTGCTGCCTTTGTTGGTTTCCAATCTGATGGTCATTGAAGAAAAGCTGCATGTTTTGTTGCATTCAACTAATTGGGATGTACGGATAGCTGGAAGGAAGCCTTATCTATTTCCATTTTAGAAAATCAGAATCCTGGCTGGGCATGGTGGCTCACGCCTATAATCTCAGCATTTTGGGAGGTCTAGGCAGGTGGATTGCTTGAGGCCAGCAGTTTGAGACCTGCTTGGGCAACGTGGGGAGACCCCATCTCTACAAAAAATACAAAAATCAGCCAGGCGTGGTGGTGTGCACCTGTCATCCCAGCTACTCTGGAGGCTAATGTGGGAGGAACACTTGAGCCGGGCAGTGGAGGTTGCAGTGAGCCAAAATGGCTTCACTGCACTTCAGCCTGAGTAATAGAGTGAGACCCTGTCTCAAAAAAAAAAAAAAAAAAAAAGAAAGAAAGAAAGAAAAGAAGAGAAAATCAGAATCCTAATTCATTTGATGTGTGAAGAGTGAAAAGTTGTGTATCTTTAAAGCAGGGTATTTTAGGTGAATATTTGAACAAGTGAATCGTTTCCTGAGATTTTCAAAGTCAGGGAACGTTTAGGTTAGCTATTTTTATAATATATATACTCTAAAATAAAATTTTCAGAGCATTAGAGCCTGGGAAACATGGCGAAGTTGTGTGTCCTTTTTTAGTTTAGTTCTTGGTTCCAGCTGAATAATTTGAACATCAAGGGATTCTGATTCTTCACTGTGGAAGCGGGCTCCTGAAAAGTAATTTGCAACTTGAGTATAAACTTTATTTTTTTATTTTTTATTTTTTGAAATGGATTCTTGTTCTGTTGCCCAGGCTGGAGTGCAGTGGCATGATCTCAACTCACTACAACCTCTGCCTCCCTGGTTCAAGCTATTCTCCTACCTCAGCCTCCTGAGTAGCTGGGATTACAGACGTACACCACCACTCCTGGCTAATTTTTTGTATTTTTAGTAGAGATGGGGTTTCTCCATATTGACCAGGCTGGTCAACTCCTGACCTCAGGTGATCCATCTGCCTTGGCCTCCCAAAGTGCTGGGATTACAGGCGTGAGCCACCACGCCCATGCCATATAAACTTTAAACCTAGTAGCTTCTGTGACATTTTGGGCTCATTCCATCTAGTTTGGGATGATTCACCCAGAAAATATTGCACAATCAGAAGTCCCCCATTCCCTGAAATGGACCAGTTCTCCAATAAAGCTTGCTTCTTGGAATAGTGAGCTGGGGTGTTGGGAGAATGGAGGAGGATGCACCTGCAAAGGAGGAATTTTGACTCTGAGGTGTGAGCGTGTCACGGTGAATGAATATTCTCCAGGTAGGGAGAGCAAATCGGTGCATGTAAGTTCTGGTAGTAGCATTTCCATTTAATAGTGGAGCACCATTACTCAAACTTGGTTTCATGTGAATGCCTGTGTTCTAGTGTAGTCAGAGGAATTCTGGATTAAATATTTGTTTGCCATGTACAGAGAAAGCTGTAGTGAGAGCTAGTTTTAGGAGTGTTAAATGTCCTCATTGCAGAGTAAAGATTGTGAGGGTTGTAATCAGTTAGGAAATACTTGGGTTACTTATTACACTTAACTCGGTAATCTCAGACATTTACGTAATGCTTACCATGTACTGGACACTCTTTAACATGCTCTCCTGTATTAATGTATATTACAATCCTATGAGGAAAATACCATTAATACTTCTGTTTTAAAAATGAAGAAACCATATTCAGATAATGCATGACTTGCCCAAGGTCATAACTGGTAAGTGGTGGAGGCCGAATTCAAACCCAGGCAGCCCAGCTCCACTGTCCACACTCCATCCACTACTTTGCTCTCTCTTCATTTTGTCCTTTGTAAGGTTGTGGGTGTACAAAGGGGAAAACTTCTGTCCTGACTCACCTGGAATGTCCAGTTTACAGATGTGCACAAACCCAGTTGCACTAGAAGCATGCTGCCATGTGCCAACTGCCTCAGCAGAATTGTAGCAGCTTCCTGGCAGCATAGATGTGGGAACACTCAGGCCTGCTGCCAGGGCGAGGGAAGGGGTCACGGAAGTGCAATACGGAAGAATGAGCAGTGATGCTCTGCTAGATAAATCTGGGGGAGGCTGCTGGAGGTAGTGGGATTAACATGTATAGGACAGAATGGCCGGACAGAACCAGGGAAGGACGGGTGATTCATCAGTCATAAAGGATGCTGCCCCTCTTCTTGGACAATTCAGGAAGTGCCTTGAAAAAATACTTTGATCATGAACTGGCTGGTAAGTAAGTCATTATTCAGAGAAACAAGCAAAGCTATTCAGTTCAAAATCCTATCCTGTTCAAGTGAATCCCCCATTCCCCAACCACACGCACTCAACAACGACAAAAGACTAGAAGGATATGTGTCACTGGGAACACTGGTTTCTCTGAATGGTGCCCTTATTAGTGGTTTTAGCTTTCCCTTAATTACTTTGCAGTTTTGGAATTTTCTGCAGTGTAGGTATTCATTTTATAATTAATTCAAAGTTAAAAATTACTTTATGACCAAAGCCAGTTACTTTTAGCTGTGGTATGCCTGGCTGTGTAATCTTTTCAGTGAATTCATCTCAAGGTAACTAGACTGAACTAGACTGAACTAATCTTAGATAAACTGCAGGGATTAAAGTTTACACAAAATTGCACATTGCTTGTGGAAGAGAGAGGAGAAACTAAACCCTCCAATGTTCACATTATTCAACTAGAGCTGAGGAGATGAGTTGTCAGAATGGTGGACTTGTGCCAGCTGAATGTTCCGGAGTGATTTCTACTAAATGGTTAATGGAGGGCAGTGAGCGGAGGGAGGGAGCATTGTGTAATGCAGCTGCAGGTGTTGGCTTTGTCACCCTCATTGGGTTGTGCACTCTCCTGAGCTGACCCCAGGGGCAACTAGGCCGGGGCAGCTGTTCCCCAGTCCGAGGCCACGACTTGTCTTTAGCCAGATGATGCCCATTGCCAGGTCCATGCCCATTGCACAGACTCCTGCCTGCAGTCTGTGACAAGGCTTTCCTTTGGCCATTCCTGGCTCATCAGTTCCCAACTTATAGGAATTATGATTTCTTTTTTAGGATGATTCCAATAAATTTCCATTAAACGACTGTGGCAGTAAAGACTAGCTAAATGAGAGAAACAAAGGCTATAATGAACTTGCTGTAGCAAGGGAGTCAGACTTCCATTTTGACAGAGGAGAGGAAAGCTTTATTGTGGAAAAAAGGAAAGGCTTTAGGTATGTTCTGATTGGAGGTTGTTTACAAGGGAAGCTGTCTGAGGATTAACTAGAAGTCGGGCATCTGATATGATTGGTTATGGGTACATATTTGGCTTCGCCTGGTTGGTCCTATGTTGGAAGTGGGACAAAAATTAGGGAAGCTATCAGTTATTAATCAAGTTCTGGCCATTTGGGGCCAATTGTTATGGAAGTTATTGTTTGGTTTCCTGGATTGTCACTAGAGATAGCAATCTGGCTTTCTCTGTAAGTCTAATTTGTAGCAGGCTGGCTTCCTGGATTGTTTATTCTAAGTAAGTGGGTTAGTTTCCTGGACAGGTGTGGGTGAAAGTTCTATTTTTAAATATGGTGTGGTATATGTAGTCCCTCACAGCAGAATCTGCTTTGCCCTTATATTTTTGTCATTAATTTTCAATAGGCAGATACTTGACTGATAACCTTGGACAGTCACCCTGTTG